GGCACAGGAAGATGATAGGTTCCGAATCCGATGCAGCCTGTGTTGGTAGAGAATCACCACAAGATAATCAGTTGTGGAGCGGTGCGCCATGTGGGAAATTCCGAATGGAAAATGCTTATGCGATTATGACACTGGGCCAAAGCTCGACTTGTCAAAGATACACGCACTGTTTTTCGAAGCGGGTTCGGTAAACAGATAATCATAATTAAACTTTGAACTTATCTTAATAACGGACAACAATATCCCATATTGTAGGCCCATGCAAAAATCTTCTTGAATTTTTGTTTTTGCGTTGAACGATCTCGCCAACTACCTCGGAGATAGAATTCCGAAAGAAAGAAAGAGCAAATATTACGGGAATAATTATATTCATATCATAAAAGATGTTCCACATGTTTTTCATTCTGCTGCTTGCATAGCAAAGTCCGGTGAAGGTAGTTTTCTTCCACCTTCAGAATTGTGGAAGTTGGAATACTTTTGCAATGCGCCTTAATGATCTGTTTAAGTACCTCGATAGTTCTCGGCTTTCAGGAATAAACCGTTCCCTTCAGATATCCCCACGGAAGAAATCAAAGGGGGAATAATCAAGTGACCTTGGAGGCCATTCCTTTGGTTCTCCTCGGTCAATCCATCTGAATGCACAAAATACGCTTATTTCCATACGATAATAGGTTAAAACGACAACAATTGATTATAGTGGTCAGTGCCTCCTAAGTAGGGGTTTGATATGGTTCACATTGTACAGTAGTGAACAGAAGCGAATGAGGATAGCCCGTCCGGTTAGCAATCTGTATGAGAGGAACTGTGCGTGCGACGGGTACCCGACCGAGGCGATTGCTTGATATTAACTATACCTTATTCAGTTTAAGATGTCCGAATATCAATTCCAAATGTCACTATATGAATTTAAGATATCCGAGTATCAATTTAAGATGTCATGTTGCTATGTGGATAGTACCTTGCACATTGCAGAGTGAAAACGTTCAATAAGACCCCTGTTTACCCAGATTCATGCGCGTCCTACTGCACATTGATCTATGGCCCCCGAAAATATCATCCCACGCTCAACAAAAATATGCACGGACAATGATCTTGTCGGCTTGTTTGCACACACAGTGATTGAAGAATGCAACCCACAGTTCAGGTAGAGCTATGCCACCATGGGCAAACCGACGAAGGCTTGGTTGAATACGAAACAAAAAGGAGTGCTTCAGGGTTTGGTGGGGTCCATCTCACGATGACCTTATTTTTGACTTGGTCAGGCAAAATAGCTGTAGACTGAACAGTGCTCACCACGAACGTTCATGTTCTCATGAATGAAGTGTTCTCGGTACAAGAGGGGTGGTAGCGGCCGACGTGAATGGGGGTCGAACGTTTGCAATCGTCGGTGCATAATTTTGTTGAGCGTGGGATGATATTTTCGGGGCCATAGATCAGTATGCAGGTAGGACGCGCATGGATCTGGTTGAACAGGGTTTCACACTGTACTGTGAAAGGAACTATTCACATAGCAAGATGACATCCTTGATTCTCATGGTGACATCTTACTTTGATATTTGGACATCTTATACCAAAAAATTTTTAGTTGGTTTGTTGAATGTAGGGCGTTTGCCACTAGGCAGCTGTTTATGGATCCCTTTCTGGAGGTGGAATTAGGACATGATGGCGCTGGTTGGGCTGGGTTCAGAAGGTGTAACGAGCAATCCTTCAGGTCGAGTTAGTCTTCACATTATGATCTGTATGTTAGAAAGTTGACCTAGTTTTTGACTAACATGGACATCGTGGCATAATTGTTTTTAACAGTTGTGTGGTCATTCGGTCGATGCATGCTGCGTTACAAATGTAATAATAAAGAGGGGTTATGGAATTGATGTGATTTGTTTGTTTATAGCCCGATCATGTCCATTCTTGATTAAATAGTCATGACCTTTACCCGGAAACATGCTGAATATGTCAAGTGATAAATGATGAATGATTCATTAAACGCTTGTTCTTTGCACCTTGGAGCTTTAAAAAACAGACACGCATGGTAAGTAACTAGTTTGAGGTAACCAACTATATGGAGTTGTGGTCTCTTCATTGGCCCTTCCCCCTTTTATGTGCGTGTGGAATTCCTGAACACTACGTACAATACATCAAACCATAAAGGTAAAACCTAAAAAACAATTTGATTGTGGGATACAGCCTGCCAAGATCAAAGCCGTGCTCAGAAGCGACCTGTGAGCTAACCATGATTGGGAATAAATTAATTCTTAACTTCTAGACTGCATGAGTTAATAATTATTTCTGGGCAGGTGAACGAGATCTAATGCATGGTACAATGACTATCAAAAAATATATCCAGAAAAATACATGGATGCCTTGATTGAATATAAATCTGTCAGAGAACTCGTAGAGTCAGTGGCAACAAATCACTTGCCTTCCAGTCAGCACTTGACTACAGGACCAGGAGGTGCTAGGCACTTTTCATTGGTCTGAACTCCCATGACGTATTGTTATCATCATGAAGCCGATTTATACTCTCTAGTTTCCTCAAGTAGAGTTTTTGGGTGGCTAAAATCGCGTACATTTGATGTGAAGGAAGTACTCTATACGATCACGAAAATCTAAAAGCAAGATTGGATGTATGAGTATTCGATGTCAGATAGGAGTAAAAGCAAAGTAAGATCAATGATAGGAACAGGGTCCAGCGATTGGGGGACTGCAACGCGATGAACAGTGCAACCGTGGATCAAAGAACTATCCTGCATTGAAACTCCAAACACAATTTTCGGTTGATCATTCCGGTTCCGTCACCTCGTGCCACACATTTTTCTCTTCATCCTTTGCTACTTAGGAACTCTCCTATTCAACCTTAGTTCACATAATAGTCTATGCATTTCTGGTAATTTACCCTCAGTCCATATTAATTCTGTGGGTCAACTATAAAAATTTCACAAATTTTTACGCATTTTTACCTTAGTGCAACATATTTGTTTCTTCTCAGGACATTTGAATTTTCCTTACTTTCGTTGCGTTAACAACTCGGGGTGCATTTTATATCAAACGTATCTCGTTTGATAACCAAATGAAACTAGAATAACTTCATATGATTGAAACTTAATCATAAAAAGACCTTATTATTCTGTTCGATTTCTGTTACTCGTGTTTTCTAACCCACATTACTATTTTGTATCATATCTGTGATGTTAGCTTAAGATGAACCCCTTAGTTTGAGACCAAGGAGCTGTTACGAAAAAGCGCAAAATTTAGCTTACTTCTTTCGCTCCGGTCGCATCATCCAAATCACCTTGTAGGACTGTGACTTGACCTTCTAGTTTGCGTCGCTCTGCGGTCAGGTTGTTGATCTGATTGGTCAGCTCCCCTATTCGATTAACGGTTTCCGCGGCATCTTCTTCCGTTTTACGTTTAAGCCGTTCGGTCACTTCCAGTTGACTGCGTAGTGTCTCCACCTCATCGTTCAATGCGTTTCGGCGGTTTTCGCAAATCTGTGGTGTTTGTACGAGCGTGTACGAGTGTTCATTACGGGAGAAAATGCCGAGATGAAATGCCCGTGATTACCGGTTTGGGAAACGTAGAGTGAACACAGAACAATTTAAACTTCAACACTAATGGATGAATGAAAGAATCAAATACGTTCGGCTGTTTGGAACACATATAAATTGAGTGCCATTTGGAAGAAAATGAATTGTAAGTCTCGGTGTTTAACGGTGACCATATGGGGCATGCCACGTTTGAAGTTGCTTTGATTGCGCATGGTGTTTTGTCGTACTGCTGAGCATAATATCGCAGAGATACGATGAAGGTTTAGCGACGGCCCTGAATGTTAACCAAACATGTAAGTTGAACCTGGACAGGGATTCATTCATTCTATGACCACTAATGTCGTAAGGAAGTTAATTTGATTCCAGAACTTCGCCTTACGAAAACGGAGTATGAGGTGAAATTACATGGAGCACTACTTTCAACTTTTCATTGAAGGCGTTGAACTTTCGACCCAATATAAAATCGAACCCTGAACCTCACACTGCGGGTTTCGAACCCTATATCTTCTTGGATGGATTTGATCCCATAGTTTCAGATAGCATCAAAAAAAAACGTTTCGAAACCACTTGATTCATCTTGATTCATCAGCATTCATTATATCTCACCCTTATCCCAAGAAGTAATAAGTCAGTTTTATTCTTCTACATTTAATGTTTCGATATCATCAAATTGAATATGTTCACTTTAACTTCTCCAGAAGCATCCATTTCAGAGGAATTTAGTTTGCTCTACAGTCGGTCATTATATTGCTGATCATCAGCTGTGCTTTCAAACGCAGTCTGCATTTTTGATGGCAGTGAACTTTTTATCCAATCGATGACGTTTTATCACAGTCGCTGATAGTTTAGACTCTCAACCAAAGGATCAAATGCATTTGAAAAGGTATCATTATCCATCTAGTGTGTTCATTTGGAGGAGAAAACTCGGCACATCATACGGTGCCTCGGCATAAATAATACATATGAATAGCCTTGATACACATCCTGATGGAGAAATTAACACGAGAGCGGTGGAGGATTAACCTGTAGTAGGACTACTTGCAGTTTATTAGGGAGAGGGGGAAAAATAACCTGCGAAAATGGTTTGGCATGCCTGATATACCTTTATGCACTAGCTCTCAGATCTAGGAATTGAGTGAAATCATCATTTGTTTTTCTTTTCCAATCCTTTTGTTCACTTGATTGATTGATTGATTGGTTTAACTAGCCCGTGGCCTCAGAGTGCCTGGACGGCGGAATCAAGCGGTCCTGTTCGATCGGGGGATATGGAAATATGAGTGACTGAACCAATCGCTTTCGGGGGGAGAGGTCAGGGATCAATTTTTCCGATCACCTCGGTTATTGATGGAGTGCAGAATTGAACACCCTTGTATTTGTTGTGGATCGGGGGGGAGGGGGCACGATAAACAACGTGCGGATTTATATGATGTCCGGTGTCGACTAAGTGGGCTAAGTGGGATTGTGCTAATTGTTGATCCGGTCTGTCCGATGATACGATGATGGATGATACGATTTAATAGGGGTGAACAGTTCCCGTGGTGTTCGACCAACACAAGATGCGTTACAAACGCATCCAGGTTAGCACCGACAGTTCATCCTTGTTCCGGATCTGAGCACCTCATAACACTCATTCTCATTTGACCGCGTTAAACGGGTTATTGATTGCTCTGCCAAGACTTCGGACTAGAATCTCACTCATTGTATCGCCTTTAGATGGCAACCTGACAGCAGTTTCGGTATTGAGTATTTGTTCAGTCAGATTGATTTATAACCCTTGATTCGTGTTGTGTCTAACCATGTGATCTGTTTTTTGTACTACCCATGCAATCTGTAAACGTCTTAAGATTAAGTTACTGAAAAACAATTGATTCACCAAACTGTGTTCGTTCTAACCACCGTGATGGATATCTCTCAGACACTTTGTTTACTTCAGATGTCTTCATGTCCATTCATTTATGGCATTCATTTGTTTGCGTTAAGGCACGAACGTTGACGGCCGGTAGCGATCCACCTGGGGCAGTGGGACAAAAACGCTTGCACCAACCTTCCCTGACGGTCTTGGGCGCCAGGGAGCTAAGACGGAGAGGTACAGAGCAAAATCCAGCCTTATCTTCTCCTAGGTTGACGATGACAGGTGTGCAAGGTCTGGAGTTGATCTTGAAATGCGATTTCTCCCTGCCGGACAGCGGTACTTGTTGGTTTTCGCTTCGTTACCCGCGACCATCATGCATCAGTCGGTGCCCTGTTAAATAAACCTACCGAGGCCTTGACAGATTCCAGTGTCTGCCCTAGACACTTGCAGTTTGAATAGAATGGAGTGTATCTGCGGATGACAGTTATGCGTCGTCATGTGCCAATCAGGGCACGGAAAATCGCTTTCGTGTTGCACCGTTCTTTTAAAACCACATCATTTAGTTAGAACATTGATAATGTGTGCGTTATTTTTACCGTTACGTTAAACAAAATTCTACACTGTTCTGAGACATCAAAAATCATTTTCACCTGTTCATCTAGGTTGACAGTTGTGCTTGGAAACGTTTCATTACCAGCCAGTTGATATTGAAACACTTTCAATTCGACGAAACGGTGAAAATAAATTCAGTCAACCACGGACCACGTGAACGCATTGGCACTACTGCAAAAATATACCTCTGCATGTCAACAAGTATCACTACCGTAACAGACGAGTTGCATGTCGACTAAAAGAGAGGAAATAATCCCGTAATATCATGAGTTCCATGTGATCGTCTCACTGATTTGTAAAATTAAGGTGCAACCTTTCAAAATGTTCCAAGATTTTAGTTCTGTTCAGTTTGAATAACTCAGCCTTTGGCTCCCGCGTGCGTATTCTGTTTGTTATCATTCGGCTGCCTAATAAATTGATTCAGTGGAAAGAAGAGCAATGTAAGTGATGAGAGTATTAAGAAGATGAAAATGCAGTATGTGTGTGCAGTATGCGCTAAACTGTGAGTCAGTAGAAAGTAAGTTGTGCAATCACGATTATGTTAAGATGCTCAGCAATATCCCTCAGATTGTCCATGCCTGTTGTAGAAGCTGTTCACCCGATCCCGGGATTTCGAGCGCTACTTAATTGACCTATTTCACTGGATAAGTTCTTCGTATCATCGGAATTGACTTACGTTCATTTATTACCTGTATTAACAGAAAGAAAGAGTTAAGGTTGGTGCCGTGGGAATTCTGACGAGGATTGCGTGAACTTACTCAGCAACATACACTACTCTCGCTGAGCTGTTTCAAGTCGTATGGTGATGATGATGTCACGTCATGGGGCTGGACAGGAACACACCTATTTGACTACCAATCCTTTGACAAGGAATGAAAAAAGACAGAAGTATTGATGGTTTCTAGATGGTTCGGATCTATATTCTGCTCCACAAACAAACGTTGAATTTCCTACGATTCTGATGTTAACTGTCAATATTATTTCTCGCTATCAGAATTTACATTTGGAAGCGGTAAAATAAGTGCAGTCAACCGACGAGTGGTTTAATACATATTATGTGTCCATGCGTACGATCGAAACCATGTGGACGGTGCTATAAGAAAAAAATCCTTCAATAGTAATAGATTTAGGAAAAATAATTTTCTTTCGAACAAAAACGAATTTCACATCGTTCTCTCTGCTCATCTCTGTGATACCCGATTGTCCCTCTTTTCCTCCCATATTTGTTTCGACTAATGCTTATGGACAAACACTCGATCGGCAGTCAGACAGACAGTAGAGTGTGAGTCATAAATGAGTACGGAATGTTCGATGTCAATCTTACGGTCGGGCACGCGCCTCGAATTCTCACGCTCATCCGGTTTTCCATCAGGGTATACCGACCCGCTCACTCACTCGTTGCTCGGAAGTGACCTTCACACGTTTCCTATATACCTTGCCTTCTAGCACTCACACAGGCACGTGGTTGTTAAACAACAACGATAAAACAAAGGAGACAGGGGACTCGCGTAGCGTGCATATTGTTTGGGAACAGACCGCGTAAGTTCTGTTGTGGGTATTTCCACATTCGAACAATTTCTCACCCAGTTGTCATAGCCACGCTTCATCCCATGTGCATAGCTGTCTGCTCGCATCTACCATCCCTTCAACCAGCGGTGAAAACCCCAGTTCGGTAAAACATGAGCATGAACAAAGGGGTCACAAGAGGTGTATCGTTGTGCGTGTTGGACAGAGTGAGGCTCGTCCGAAGCTCGTGTGAACTATACCCCCAAATCGCTGCACGTGGGTGTGTCAGATAGGAAAATGGAGTGGGTGGTTATATCTTGGGAGTGGAGTGAGATTATGGGAAAATATGCAAAATGTGAGTGAGCTTCCGCGGTCATGCAAATGAACCGATAGAACAAACAGTCGGCTGTTGCTTTGGAGCCGAGTGGTACAAATCATCTGGTACAGCTGCATTTTCGCTCTGTGTTCCCCATGAGTTTCATTGTCTGGCAAACTACCTATTGGTTTTACTACACTCTCCGATTTGGCCCTTTACTCAACAAAACTAAAAACAAATAACTCATACCGACACTGTGACTTCGGTTCCGGCAGTCGGATTTCTTGTTGCTTATGCTCACCAAAATCACCGTCATCATCATCATCATCATCACTGTCAACATCGCGAAAATGACCACTAAACACAACTTTTAGTTATTTGATGAAAATGTTCGTGGTGCGTGGGTAAACTAGGGGAATAAAAAAGATGTATCATTGTCAACGGGAGTCAAATCAAGACTAGACGGAACAAAAGATAGCGAACTAATAGTACACCGGCATGCACATTGGAAACCTTTATGGTGATTTGAGGAATGGCGGTGGTGGTCAAGCGGTAAAAGTCACCAAATTACTACCCCGGAGGAAGTGTGTTCGAATCTCACTACTACTACCACCACCACCACCACAGCCACCATCACCACCATCATCACCTCCATCTGACTTTCTCCATTCGCTGTGTGTTGTATGGCAGCCCTTTGTCTACTTCTCTCTTACCGAAAATTGTAGCATGATATAATCAATAAAATGAAGTATAAGAAAGATAAAACAAAAACAACGGCACTAATGCGTAAACTGTTCCCGAAATGATCGAATACCACGTCAAATATAAGACGAGGTTTGAGCGAAAGCAGTGTATAATTCCAATTACGTAGTTCCTCATGAAGTTTTATTTTGAATCTGTCAGGTGGTATGTAAAGTGATTCCTAGCGCTTCAGCTCACGCTTCATTTACACGAAAAAGGTCATCACATAATTGGTTTCTATCATACCTTACGGATTTCACATCATAGATATCCATCCGCTTTCTGACCATCTTTCTTTCTTGGTCTTTGTTTTCCCGAGTGACATCTTCTATTTCCCCCTTTCATGATTTCACACAAATAGGATGGTATCCCGGGAAAAAGGGAAAATGCTGACTCTAATTTCAATCAGAAAAGATGGGTGTATACAGTGCATCATTTGTGTTATTTTTTTGACCCATACCTTCTGAACGATAACCCTGGTATCCAAGGTGTTTTCATACTGTCTGCGTGATCTGTAAGTAATTCTGGGGCTATTTTTGAAGCATTTTGATCGGATAAGTAGATTGTGGGATTAAATTTGCTATTCTTCAACAACGCACATGGGAAACTTGGAAGCGCGACCCGTTCAGGACAAGAAGGGCCGAGTGGGGAAGAGAGAAAGGTTTGCAAACAACCTCAAGCCAATGCCCGTCAGTCTGACATTCAAATTTTCTCGACTATCATTATTCGGCTAACAGGACCTGCTTTGTACGGGTTACCACTGTAAGCTACACTAACTGGGTGCGTTTTATTGTGCCCTCCGAAATCTGGAAAAAGTAATTTTTTCATGCGTCAGAATTTCATCCGTTTTTCAATCAATGATCTAATCTTCTCAGAAGTATGGTTCCATATAATGCAAAGTCAAATACTGCAATTCTACCTGCAATGTGGTCGACGTTTCATTGAGCAAATTGTGCGCCTCTTCAAGCTCATATTCCAAACGATTCGCATGTTCCTCCGCTTCGTGTGCAGCTTGTTCCGCCTCGGATCGTGATTTTTTCTCACTTTCCACCTGTTCTTCCAGACTGGCCACGGCAGTCTCCATTTTTTTCCGTAGTCGTTCCAGTTCCCCTTGGTATTTGGTCTCGGTACCTTCCATGGCTGCTTTGAGATTTTCAATGTTTCGTTGACTCGATCGACTGCATTTTAGAGACCGGGTGTCAGCAAAAGAAAAAGTGTGAGAAATCCAACCACTAAAATTACGATGAGGTTCACTTAATGAAAGCCTGTAGATGCTATTGCGTGGGGAATCAGTGAACTATCTTCAATGACAGGATATCCGCGGTGGTTCTGAACTCCCTAGAAAACCGCCTGCGAACGTACCATCGAAGCAAAGTAAAGTGTTAGACCGATCGGTTTCAGTTTTCGACTTGCGTCTATCCTCATCTGCGGTACCAATAGACAATGAAACAATGGAATTTCAACAGCCAGCTAAAGCATTTACTTCAAGCAAAACAAAAGATGATTACCATATTCTAGTCGTGGGAGGGGGTGGGGGTAAAGTTTGTATCATTGGGCCTCAATGATCAAAGAGCGTTGCAGATCCGCTGAACGGAAACAAAACAGCCGGTCCGGTATATACAATTTTAGGCATCGTAGTACACCGGATATTAGATAAAGCACAAATACTGAAAACGTGCAATCGATAGATCCAACATATATCCATCCAACATCCAACATACATCCAACATATACATACAGTGCTATGAAGTACCTGGGAAAATAAACCACACTAGAAAATCAATCACTTTAGTTTTTTACTGGCAATTCATCATCAGTTAGGCTAAAATGATTTAGGATGGTCATTTATCACTAACATGAACCGCAGGAATTGTTGCTTTCCGATTTTAGGCCATCTGTTATCTGATTACTGATTAGATTTTTCCTGAAGCAATGGTACGAAAATACTTCAATCTTGGTTTACTTTAAAAAAGATTGAAAATATTTGATAAGTACTTCGATTATTTTACATAACCTGTTTATTTATTTCATGCTACACCACCGTAAACAGCCTGTAACCAGGTCCTTTTGACTACGTACTCAGCTCAACATCACAGTGTACTTTCATTCATCAAATGCATTTGCACTGGTCGATTCCGTGTGTACTAGGTGACAATAATAATGTTGGTCTGGTCAACGTATCCCAACAGCAGTTTCCTGAGAGAATTATATGACTGAACATCGTTCGAGTAAACCAATCACAAGCCACGTCGATGACAACTCTGTTAACTGGATCCGAGCAGAAGAATACCTGAATAGGCGGATTAGTTACACCAGGACCCAGGGTTCTACTTGTGTACACCACTGTGAGTTTGTCGTGTCCAGTCTGATCATAAAAAGACGAAGATCCAAAACAACCGAGTACTAAGTGCTATAGTTCTCCGAGTAAACACCTGATTTCGACTGAACGACTCCCCTGATGAGGAAATGGTGACTAATCGGTTCAAAGCTAAGTCTTTTGGATATTTTCGCATTTACCAAGGAATTTATTTAACAGTGTCTCACCGTAATCAGGAAATTTAGAACAATCCCCTGAGATATCATTCCTCAGGTGGTGATATGTGCTCAGGAGGCCTCAACTCTTTTCCTAATGGTTATTAGTGTCAGTCCAATAATCTCTGTGAATGGATCAGACTTGCAGGCCAAACTTACCGAAGTGATTCCATTTCCTCCTCTTTGTCCTGTACACTTCGTTCAAATTCAGTACGCAAATTTGCCAGAGCCGAATGGACGGTTTGGTATTTGGTCTAGTTAATGAAATGAAGGGAGAACATAACGATGAAAACTGATTGTCATCCTGTTTTCGCAAATACAGAACACAATTATTTTCAATTCGACTTCGACAAACTATAGGATCCCAATATCAAAAGGCATATGGTATCAAGAAACTATATTG